ATTTTTGTTTCTTAAATGTTGGGACAAAATATAGAAACAATCTAAATATATGAAGTATTTTAAATACTTGAAATAGTTATACTTAAAAATAATTAAAATAGCTAAAATGTTTAAGAAACACTGGCATATTAGGGGATAGATTATCTAATTTGTGTGTGTATGTGCTTACTTGCTCAGTCGTGTCTGACTCTTTGTGATCCCATGGACTGTAACCCACGAGGCTCCTCTGTCCATGAAATTTTCCAGGCAAGAATATTGGAGTGGGTTGTCATTTCCTACCCCAGGGGATCTTCCGAACTCAAGGATCAAACTGCCTCTTTTGCATTTCCTACATTGACACGTGCCACCTGGGAAGCCTAGATTATTTAATAGGTAACATCGACTCAATTGACATGAGTTTGAGCAAACTCCAGGAGATGGTGAAGGACAGGGAAGCCTGGCATGCTGCAGTCTATGGGGCTGCAAAGAGCCGGACATGACTGAGTGACTGAACAACAGCAAGCATTATTATTCTAATTTAAAATGTATACAAAACTAGAGAGACTTACATAGAAAACAAGCTTATGGTTACAAAGGGGAAAGGGACGGGCGGAGGGATAAACTAGGAGTATGGGATTAACAAATACAAACACTATACATAAAATAGATAATCAACAGGATTTACTAAGTAAGTAGCACAGGGAATTGTATTCAATATATCATAATAACCTATAATGGAAAATAATATGAAAAATGTATAACTGAATCACTTTTCTATACACCTGAAACTAACACAATATTGTAAATCAAATGCACTTCAATAAAAAAAAAAAAAACTAAATTACACCCACCTGGGAGGCAGCTTCTAAAAACAAAGGGATTAAGAAGAAAATTAATTCTGGATAAAAGTTATTTTTATTTAAAATAAAATATGATATTTGAATAATTAATTCAGACTATTTTAAATTGAAATCTTACAAATTTATGAACTATACTGAAACTTTTATGAGAACATGAATCATTATAAGTTTAATTTATTAAATTTATGACAGTTATTTAAATCTGTAGGAAAGCTTGTTAGTTGGAAATTTGAAATCATTAGAAACTTGAATGTAATGAAGCTCATAAATAAAATTTAAAGTGTTTAAAGGATTTAAGTTAACTACACTACAGAATTCATAAAAATAATTGCTAAAATTTCACCAAATCTATGGATAGAAAAATAACTTGTATATATATTTAAAATATAAGTTGTTGTGTTGTTCTATCACTCAGTCATGTCCAACTCTGCAACCCCGTGGACTGCAGCAGGCCAGGCTTCCCCGTCCTTTATCATCTCTTGGAGTTTGCTCAAACTCATGTCTATTGAGTCGACGATGCCATCCAACCATCTCATCCTCTGTTGCCTTCTTCTCCTCCTGCCCTCAATCTTTTCTAGCATCAGGTTCTTTTCCAATGAGTCAGCTCATCGCATTTGGTGGCCAAAGTATTGGAACTTTAGCTTCAGTATTATCTTTCCAATGAATATTCAGGGTTGATCTCCTTTAGGATGGACTGATTTGATCTCCTTGCTGTCCAAGGGACTCTCAAGAGTTTTCTCCGGCACCACAGTGTGAAAGCACCTATTCTTCTGCAATCAGCCTTCTTAATGGTCCAACTCTCCCATGACTGCTGGAAAAACTATCGTTTGACTATATGGATGTTTGTCGGCAAAGTGATATCTGTGCTTTTTAATATGCTGTCTAGGTTTGTCATAGCTTTTTTCCCAAGGAGCAAGCATCTTTTAATTTCATGACTGCAGTCAACGTCTGCAGTGATTTTGGAGCCAAGAAAATAAAGTCTGTCACTGTTTCCATTGTTTCCTTATCTATTTGCCATAAAGTGATGGGACCAGAGGCCATAATCTTCATTTTTTAAATGTTGAGTTTTAAGCCAGATTTTTCACTCTCCTCCTTCACTTTCATCAAGAAGCTCTTTAGTTCCTCTCTGCTTTCTGTCATAAGTGTGGTGTCATCTGCATATCTGAGGTTAATGATATTTCTCCCAGCAATCTTGATTCCAGCTTGTGCTTCACCCAACCTGGCATTTTGCATGATGTACTCTGCAAATAAGTTAAATAAGTAGGATGTAAACATCCTTGATGTAGTCCTATCTCAATTTTGAACTACTCTGTTGTTCCATGTCTGGTTCTAACTGTTGCTTCTTTCCCTGCATACAGGTTTCTCATGAGGCAGGTCAGGTGGTCTGGTATTCCCATCTCTTTAAGAATTTCCCACAGTCTGTTTGATCCACACAGTCAAAAGCTTTAGGGTAGTCAGTGAAGCAGAAATAGATATTTTGAATTTGTAAATGTAATAAGTCAAGTATTTATCCTATTTCAAAAATAATCCCAGCTTTACAGAAATGTTGCAAGTTCAAAACAAAATTTTTTTTTCCCCATGAAATATTTATAATGCTGACATGATGCCTTTTGACTCCCAAATACTTTAGTATAATTTCCTGCAATCAAGGACATTTTCAAATATAACCACAGCATAATCATCAAAATCAGGACATAAGTATTTTTATATTACTACCATCTAATCTTTAGAAATCATTCAATTTTCACCAATTGTCCCCAAATTCCCTTTAGAAGATATAGATAAAACTCAGAATCTTGTGTTGCATTTCTTTTTTTTTTGGCCCTACCATGTGGCTTGTGGAATTTCAGCTCCCCCACGAAGGATGGAACCCGGATCCTTGGCAATGAAAGCACCACGTCTTAATCACTGAACCACTAGGGAATTCCCCATGTTGAATTTGAAATCATGTCTCTATAGTCTCACTCAACCTGGGATAATTTCTCAGTCTTCTGGATTTGGGTTTGTCTGTGTTTTCTCTTGATTAAATATTAGCTATGCAACTTTGGCAGGATTTCTACAAAGGGGATGCAGAGCTCTTCTATTGCACCTTAATTAGGTGAGGAACAAACTCAGTTCACCTTTTAACTAGTCATATTCTCTTTGATCATTTAGTAAAAGTGGTGTATTCCAAGCTTCTGCATTGTTTGCTTTGTAATAAGTATTTTGTGGGAGATACCACATAAATATTCTGTTCCTCATCAAACTTTCCATTTATTCATTTAAGTAGATCTGTATAGACTCATGGTTTCCTATTTTATACCTGTTGTTTTCATTATTTGATGCCCAAACTGTACCAAATTTGAGAACCCTTTCAAGGTAGAGTCTCTGTTTCTTTGATAAGTTTGTTTCATTTTTCTGGAACATCTTTGCTTTCTGGTACAGAAAGGGATCTCAGACTCTTAACTCTCCCTGGCAACCCACTCCAGTGCTCTTGCCTGGAGAATCCCAGGGACGGGGGAGCCTGGTGAGCTGCCATCTATGGGGTCGCACAGAGTCGGACACAACTGAAGCGACTTAGCCGCAGCAGCAGCAGCAGCCTCAGTTCTAGAATCAGTTATTTTTCTATGGATCCCTTCTTCCCTTTGGCAGAAAATAGTGTTGAGAAACTAAGATCTGGGTGCTAGGTGTGCTAACTTACATTGGGTATTGCTGCTCCGAGGTTGTCTCAGTGGACAGAGTGTTGGAATATGTATGCATACACACAGAGGCGTATATTCTGCATCTGTTGTATTTACTGAAAATGAAGAGATCACACCAATACATGCAATTCTAATTTAACACCACTCTACTATTTCACACTGGGATCTGACACCTCGAGCCAGACTATCACCTCCTCCGTGAATACAACCTGCTCACTGCATTGGAACGGGGGACACCCTACTCTGGGCTCTCCCACCCCGAGCCTGACACTGAGCCTTGCTTGGCTCCACCTAATTGCCTTAGAACTGGGTTGCTTAGAAAGGGAAGGAAGGCAACGGGAAGGAGAAGCAGCAGCATGTGCGCTTAGTCATGTCTGACTCTTTGTGACCCCATGGGCTATATAGCCCGCCAGGCTTCTCTGCCATGGAATTTTCCAGGCAAGAACACTGGAGTGAGTTGCCATCTCCTACTCCAGGGATCTTCCTAACCCAGGGGTTGAACACACATCTCCTGGGTCTCCTGCATTGGCAGGCAGATTCTTTACCACTGCGCTACCTGGGAAGCCCCAGAAGGAGAGACAGATATTAATCTAAAATTACAAACAGCCTCTGAATATCTTTTCTGCCCAAAAGTCACCTGCAGGGGCATATTGGGAAAATGTGTTCTTCACTCTTATGAGGTCCTCATTTCTCTAAAATCTCTGGTTTCCTTTAGATTTCATTTTCTCAGCTTTATTGTCATGAAGTTCACATTGTCTAGGCACATGAACATATTAAACACTTCAATCATTTTATGCATCAACTCATGGGATACTTAAGATTATATTTACTCATGTGTGTGTGTTAGTCACTCAGTTGTGTCCAACTCTTTGCGACCCCAGGGATTGTAGCCTGCCAGGCTCCTCTGTCCATGAGATTCTCCAGGCAAGAATACTGGTGTGGGTTGCCATTTCCTTCTCCAATTTACTCATGTAGTGCTAATGAAAACCTTGAAAACCTTTGGACACTCTTCCAACCTCTTATGTCAGATGGTAAAGAATCTGCCGGAAATGTAGGAGACCTGGGTTTGATCCCTGGGTCAGGAGGATTCCTGGAGAAGGGAATGGCTACCCACTCCAGTATTCTTGCCTGGAAAATTCCATGGACAGAGGATCCCGGCAGGCTACAGTCCATGAGGACATAGCTGAGTGACTAACATCAAATTCAGTGATTTTAGGAGATAGCACTGCCATGTAGCATAAGGCTTTGACTAACTCTGTTTGGCAATACTAGGACCTAGAATATTTTTGGACATTTGGAAACGTGGAAAATCTGAGGTACAATGTAAGTACTAATTACTTTATCTTTGAAGAAGCAATGAGATTTTCTTCCATGAATTACTGCAATCAGCTTCAGTGTTTATGGGGAAAAAATTAGAAAAACCTCAAAGCAGATTAAGACAATATTAGTACCACAGAAAGACAGTCAAGATCATGGTTTCCTCTCTAATGTCTTTATCAACTTTTATTATTCTGATTTGCCTTATAGCTACTGGACTCACTTATTATTCTAATTTGCTTTTGATTATAGGAGTCATTTACATTTAGCAAACCATTAGGGAGGGCACTATCTACCACATTTGTAGTTAAGTCTTTCTTCTGGAAATGTGGTCAAAAATGACAACTTGTGTGTAGAGCTCTGTTAGGATCGGGCTTCTAGTAGAGTTGTCACCAGGTTGAGCCTAAAATACACAAATCATGTTGTTAGTCAGGTCAGTCCATGCACATAATTCACATTAAATGAATTTTCTTCTTGCTTCAATGCTGTAGCAAATAGAACTAAGAAAGTTGTATCCATGGAAACATATCCAAGTTTCCCCCCAGATTCTTTTCCCAGGAGTGGTGATAATTCCAATCAGGAGCTCTGAGGCCCTGGTGATGACATTACTGAAAATATCTAGGATCAAAGCAGTGTCGCAGGTTCATACTTGTCTAGACTCTGCTGAACCCCATGGGTCACTAACTCTGCAGAATTCCTAGGGGAGGGCTTTGCACACACAGGTGATTGCAGGGTAATAAGTTAAAAAGGACCCTATCTTGATTTCAAGTTTGTCAAATAAAAATGTCTCAGATTTGGAATTGGTTCAGACTAGTGGAACTAACTACCTGTCCATCGTGGGTTTCATGAATAGCTTCTTACTTGTTTGATAGCTATTTGATTTACATTTTCCCCCCGTTTACATTATAATCCTTGAAAAAAAGATTTGGTCCTTTTACTTTTATGCAGGTATTTTGCCATACTTACAAGGCCCCCAGAGAGACCCTCTGGGAGAAAGTATTCACTAATGTGGTGCTGATAAGAGAGAAAACAGATCTGAAAACAGCCAGACAGTATCTAGTATTAGTCATTGGGCCTTTCCTGTATTTGATGTACAAAAGAATGAATGATGTTAGTTGCTCTCTCTCCTTTTCTTGTAGGAAGAGATGATAAGGGTTTAGATCAGGGACTAGAGAGAAGCTTTGATATTACCTTTCCCCCTGGTATTCAATTTCTTGTGCTAGTGAGAAAGAATATATCAGACCCATCTTCTGTTAAAAGAATGAGTAAAATTGTAAAGATTTTGATACAGGGAAAACAAAAAGAGTGAGCGTCTTGAGTGGCTTACCCATCCACGTTTTATTCTATGTTTGTGCTATTTTATAACTCATTAAGTTGGAGACAACTGATAATAATGCAAAATATTCTTCTCTACAAAGATGCAAACTAATTGTGCTCAGTGGCACACCACTGATTATTGTTTCATCTTGAGGCCTGTTTTACATTAATTTGTAAATTAATGTCAATCTTTCGTTTTCCCTATATGTGTTCTGATTTTTGACTTCTTCCTTGAACTGCTTACAACATCTGACTTGTTCATTGTATAATTTATGAATAAACAAAATTTTTGACACATTCATTTTACATCAGTATGAGAGTCACAATTAAATTCTTTTTAGAAACACCATCTTGTACATATTTTGAAGCTTCCAATTTGATGCACAGTGGGTTCACCTGACAGATGAATAGTTTAGCTGGAGTGTGTCTCTCTTGGGTGACTTAAACTCTCTATTTCTTGGTTTCCGTTGGTAAATCCCTAGTAGCAACAGAACTTTAACTTTGCTGATCCTCTGCTTCTTCACATATTTTCCTTTTTACTATGTTTGTATTTTGTTTTTGCTTTTGGAACTTTTACAATGAATAAATTATTCCCTCTTGGTGACAACTAACTGTGATTTGGAACTTGATTTTATGGTTTAACCTTTGTGTTTTCTGTAAATAGATGAAGAGATTACTGAGATTTATTCTTTTTTTGAGTAAGAAACAACAGAAAATCTGATTTGCTATTATGATTTTTTCTTTATTTGTCTACTTGTCTTCTTTGAAGAAATTAAGAATCTCACGCCCATCAGGAAAGAGGACAACATTTTTGATATACGGGCAGGTTACATTTTTGTGTTTACTCTTGAGTTGTGGTTATGTTTAGACTTGAAGCTACAAGATCCTTATGTGTCTCTGTATATATATGTTTAGAATTCATAAAGACCTTTGCATCTTTATGTATGAGTACACAGTAATTTTCTATCTCTGGAAAGAATTAATAAATTAGATTTAGAAGTCTCTTAAATTAAAGAAACTCTGTTCTGATTGGCCAGAACAGAGCTCTTATGTAAGTAAGTTCTTATGTAAGTCAAATATTTATAAAATCCCAGGAAAATGTGGAAATTAAAGTTTTGATACTTTTTCATTTGTTTTTTTTTTTTTTCTGTTTTTTTTTTTTTTTNGTCTGTTTATTTGTTTTTTTTTTTTTTCTGTTTTTTTTTTTTTTTTCCTGTTTGTCCATGCAACATGAGAATCTTCCCCAACCAGGGATCAAACCCATGTCCCCCATGTTCGGAGTGCAGAATCTTAACCACTGGACTGCCAGGGAAATCCAGAGTTTGATACTTTTAATGTGCTATGCTTAAAGAGTATTCTCACACAAATGATTTAAAATTTTAAGGTCATACAATTGAGATAAATATTTGGCAAATTAGAGTAGTGTAATGATTTTGGTTTAACACAAATAGCTTTTCGTCTGATTTATCAGTGTTAGGTATAACATAAACATATATTTTATTCTACTGCACTTTGTGTTTGCTTTTCTTAAGCTTATTGATGCATACAGATAAAATAAGCTAACACTACTCTGATACAATCTGTAATATAATGAGAAATCCATATTCAACAAAATCAAATCATTATTCTGACAACTTTATATCATCAGTAATTTTGTTTTTTACTGTCAACTTGAATACAATCACTCAGATCTTTAGGTAACATAAAAACTTAGATAGTTATTAGGTTAGATAGCATAAAGAATATTCATATGATATCCAGATAGTTTCTAATCTTGATAGAATGCTGAAAATTTGATGCTTAATTATTAAACTTAACTTTATATACTTTTGCTTATAGCCAATGAAAAATTCCTATTTTGGGTCATGTTAGTGAACATGTTCATTTTTTCTCTTTAAAAAGATATATGTGTGGCTATACAAAGATGCAACATAAAGTTCTCTTGTCTGTTAAAATGTCTTTGGAAGAAAGGAATTTGTAGCTATCTACCTCTAATTTTCTCCATGAAACAGAGTTACTTTGGTTGAAAAATCATAATTATATGAATGGTTGAGAAGATATCATAAGCAATGTTGTTTAGTTGCTGAGTCTTGTCCGACTATTTTGCAATCCCGTGAACTATAGCCTACCAGGCTCCTCTGTCCATGGGATTTCTCAGTCAAGAATACTGGAGTAGGATGCTGTTTCCTTTTCCAGCGGATTTTCTCTACCCAGGGATTGAATTTGCATCTCCTGCATTGGCAGGTGGATTCTTTACCACTGAGCCAACTGGGACGCCCCATCACAAGCAACAGGGATAGACTAATACCACAGTCTCTTTGCTTTTGTGTTTCAAAGAGAAAATAGTCTTAACCTATAGTGGAGTTTTTTTTTTTTTAAATTAATTCTTATTGGAGTATAGCTGCTTTAAAATTCTGTTAGTCTCTTGCTATACAGCAAAGTGAATCAGTCATACATATACATATGGATACATATATATCCAGATCCACTCCTTTTTAGATTTCCTTTCCATTTATAGTGGAGGTTTTATAACAGTGTATAGTAGCTATATATGTATATATATATGTACATATATATATAAAATATAGTATTATATAGTAGTAATTATATATATAGTATATAGGGCCTTCCCTGCTAGTTCAGCTGGTAAAGAATCCGCCTACAATGTAGGAAGTCCCGGCTCGTTTCTTGGGTTGGGAAGATCCCCTGGAGGAGGGCACGGCAACCCACTCCAGTATTCTTACCTGGAGAATCCCCATGGACAGAGGAACCTGGAGGGCTAAGTCCGTGGGGTTGCATAGAATCAGACACGACTGAGCAACTAGGCACAGCACAGCACAGTAATTATATATATAGTATTGGGCTTCCTGGGTGGTGCTAGTGGTAAAGAACTCACCTGCTAATGCAGGAGGCATGAGGATCCCTGGGTCAGGAAGATCCCCTGGAGAAGGAAATGGCAACCCACTACAGTATTCTCGGCTGGAGAACCCCATGGACAGAGGAGCCTAGAGAGCTACAGTCCATAGGGTCACAAAATGTTAGACAAGACTGAAAGTGATTTAGTACACATATATATAGTATTAATTGTATATACAATTTTATATATAATTTATAGACATGTAGCTATCATGTATATATGTATAAATATAATTTATACAATTTCTATATATCTATAATTTATATATGGTTATATAATTACTACTATATACTGATATAATTATATATAAATAACTACATAATACATATGCAATAGTAGTGCTTTTCAGGCTTTTTTCTTCTTCTGTTATATCTCAGAACCCCTGTAAAATCTTGAGATTTACTGAGAACCACAAAGAATTTTTATGTGAGTTATAACTATCAATATTTACTATATTGGAAGTGGAAATTGAGAAAATTTAAGATAGTGATTCATTTGACCATAGCTATGATGAATACATATTGAAATGTTAACAGAAATAACATCTTAGTGTGTGTGTGTGTGTGTGTGTGTGTGTATATATAAGTTATTTTGAGTTCATGGATCTCCTGAGAATTGCTGTGACATGACAAAGGAAAATGAAAGACAAAATTTGGAAGTAAATTTTACTTGCCTTGGTTTATAGTACTTGATTACTCTGAAAAGAGTAATGACATGCTAAAATTTCAGTTAAGCTTGCCCTATCTTGATGGGCTTGCTTACTAGTTAATTCCTTTACCTACTATATAAAAGGTTTTTTTTTTAACCTTCTGTGTAACTGTCTAGGTAGTAAATATTCCAAGTCTTACATGAATAATTTTCTGTGCTTTATTACATTCTTAATTGTTTAAGAAAAAGAAAAAATAAGAAACAAAAGCAAGGAACAAAAATTCCTCACTTATAAAGAGCTAAGGTTCTTTATAGTCATGTTAATATAGTGTTAATTTATAAATGTTGTATTGTTTTAAATGTTTAAACAGTTAACTCGGTGTTGTTTTTGTAGCATCCTGATCCTATCTTAACCAAGTGCCCAAATATCCTCTGACCTTTTTTTTAACTGGTTTTTGCCTTCCTATAATTGAATCCTAAGTATAGAAAAAATTAAACTTTCCAGTTATATTTTACACCTG